GTTTATGGAGGTGACAAAGAGCTCATCGTAAATGGTTACGTTGATGCAAGCTTTGACACTGATCCGGACGATTCTAAATCGCAAACCGGATACGTGTTTACATTGAACGGTGGAGCTGTCAGTTGGTGCAGTTCTAAACAAAGCGTCGTGGCGGGATCTACATGTGAAGCGGAGTACATAGCTACTTCGAAAGCAGCAAATGAAGGAGTCTGGATGAAGGAGTTCATATCCGATCTAGGTGTCATACCTAGTGCATCGGGTCCAATGAAAATCTTTTGTGACAATACTGGAGCAATTGCCTTAGCGAAGGAATCCAGATTTCACAAGAGAACCAAGCACATCAAGAGACGCTTCAATTCCATCCGGGATTTAGTCCAGGTGGGAGACATAGAAATTTGCAAGATACATACGGATCTAAATGTTGCAGACCCGTTGACTAAGCCTCTTCCACGAGCAAAACATGATCAACACCAAGGCTCCATGGGTGTTAGGATCATCATAGTGTAATCTAGATTATTGACTCTAGTGCAAGTGGGAGACTGAAGGAAATATGCCCTAGAGGCAATAATAAAGTTATTATTTATTTCCTTATATCATGATAAATGTTTATTATTCATGCTATAATTGTATTAACCGGAAACATAATACATGTGTGAATACATAGACAAACAGAGTGTCACTAGTATGCCTCTACTTGACTAGCTCGTTGATCGAAGATGGTTATGTTTCCTAACCATAGACATGAGTTGTCATTTGATTAACGGGATCACATCATTAGGAGAATGATGTGATTGACTTGACCCATTCTGTTAGCTTAGCACTTGATCGTTTAGTTTGTTGCTATTGCTTTCTTCATAACTTATACATGTTCCTATGACTATGAGATTATGCAACTCCCATTTACCGGAGGAACACTTTGTGTGCTACCAAACGTCACAACGTAACTGGGTGATTATAAAGGTGCTCTACAGGTGTCTCCAAAGGTACTTGTTGGGTTGGCGTATTTCGAGATTAGGATTTGTCACTCCGATTGTCGGAGAGGTATCTCTGGGCCCTCTCGGTAATGCACATCACTTAAAGCCTTGCAAGGATTGCAACTAATGAGTTAGTTGCAGAATGATGTATTACGGAATGAGTAAAGAGACTTGTCGGTAACGAGATTGAACTAGGTATTGAGATACCGACGATCGAATCTCGGGCAAGTAACATACCGATGACAAAGGGAACAACGTATGTTGTTATGCGGTCTGACCGATAAAGATCTTCGTAGAATATGTGGGAGCCAATATGAGCATCCAGGTTCCACTATTGGTTATTGACCGGAGACATGTCTCGGTCATGTCTACATAGTTCTCGAACCCGTAGGGTCCGCACGCTTAACGTTTCGATGTCGGTTATATTATGAGTTTATGAGTTTTGATGTACCGAAGGTTGTTCGGAGTCTCGGATGTGATCACGGACATGACGAGGAGTCTCGAAATGGTCGAGACATGAAGATTGATATATTGGACGACTATATTTGGACACCGGAATGGTTCCGGGGGTTATCGGATATATACCGGAGTACCGGGGGGTTACCGGAACCCCCCCGGGGGTTATTGGGCCTCATGGGCCCAAAGTAGTGGAAGAGGAGAGGCAGCAGGAGGTGGCGTGCAGCCCCCCTTGCCCCAATCTGAATTGGGAAAGGGAAGGGGGCGCGGCCCCCCTTCTCCTTCCTTCTCTCCACCTCCTCCTCCCCCCTTCTCCTAGTTGGAATAGGAAAGGGGGGCAAAACCTACTTGGAGTAGGATTGCCCCCCCTTGGGCGCGCCTCCTCCTCTTGGCCGGCCCCCTCCTCCTCCACTCCTTTATATACATGGCCAGGGGGCACCCCATAGACACAACAATTGATCTCTTAATCTCTTAGCCGTGTGCGGTGCCCCCTTCCACCATAATCCACCTCGATCATATCGTAGTGGTGCTTAGGCGAAGCCCTGCGACGGTAGAACATCATCATCGTCACCACGTCATCATGCTGACGGAACTCTCCCGTGAAGCTCTACTGGATTGGAGTTCGCGGGACGTCATCGAGCTGAACGTGTGCTGAACTCGGAGGTGCCGTGCGTTCGCTACTTGGATCGGTCAGATCATGAAGACGTACGACTACATCAATCGCGTTGTGCTAACACTTCCGCTTTCGGTCTACAAGGGTACGTAGACAACACTCTCCCCGCTCGTTGCTATGCATCACCATGATCTTGCGTGTGCGTAGGAATTTTTTTGAAATTACTACGTTCCCCAACAGTTTGGTACACCCAAAGCATTCCTACAGTATCCGGGAGTTGCGCAATCTCATGGTCTAAGGAAATGATACTACATTAGAAAAGCTTTAGCAAACGAACTACACGATCTTGTGCTACGTTTAGGATTGGGTCTTGTCCATCACATCATTCTCCTAATGATGTGATCCCGTTATCAATGACATCCAATGTCCATGGTCAGGAAACCATGACCATCTATTGATCAACGAGCTAGTCAACTAGAGGCTTACTAGGGACATATTACGATCTACGTATTCACACATGTATTACGGTTTCTGGTTAATACAATTATAGCATGAACAATAGACAATTATCATGAACACGAAAATATAATAATAACCACTTTATTATTGCCTCTAGGGCATATTTCCAACATCTGGGACGGTGACACCATCCTCCTTCGTCCCTCGGAGATACGCACTCACGTAGACGGCTTCTATAAGGCCTTATTCTCCGCCAACCCTCGGGGTGGCGCCTCGCTGGCCCTGGACACTTGGTCGGGCTGCCAGCTGGTCTCGGACACGGATAATAACGCCCTTATGGCCCCTTTCGGTGAGGAGGAAGTCCTCGCCACGATTAAGGGTATGAACCCGTCTTCAGCTTCGGGATCGGATGGCCTCCCAGTGAAGTTCTTTCAAACCTTCTGGCAAATTATCAAGCCCGAGGTTATGGCACTATTTGATGAGTTTTATGTGGGGCCATGGGCCTGCCAAAAATCCCACCCGAACAATTAAATATCTTCAGGGACTGAATTTTTTTTGCCCACTCGGATTCTTTGTCCAGGTACTGCAGAAGTCTTGAAAACAGCATTTCTTCTGACTGCTCTGATGTACATCGTCCTAGATGTAGCAAAAACATGGTAACTCTCCCAAGATGCCCATGAGTCAGTTTCTTATATGTTGGCCTGAGATTTGCGCTAAGGGAATCAGTTATCAGATCATATGCAGTTGGTGATTCAGGCATACACAAGAGGGGCTTCACGGTCCCATCCCTCCAAACATGAGAAACAAACTCTAAGAAGCGCCTTTCGCACCAAACAAAGAAGCTTCTTAACTTTATGGTGCTTATGGGAAAACCAAACTCTGGCTCCTTCAGAAACATTGCAATTTCGTACATGATAAGGATACTTCTCCCAAGGGCGTATGAAGATGCCTGCTGTGGAGAGAACTGAAGGCAAGATAACTTTTTGAGTACAGCCAAACTAATTGAAAATAGCTCCTTTATCCAGAAATTCTGAACAAATGAATGAAATTGAATAGAATCCAGCCAACGTATGTTGTCATCTTGCTGCAAAGAGCTTCTGTCTAGGTTAGAAAGCACCCTTGAATTCATGTTAAGAACCACATATCGGTCATTGTCACCATCTTTTCTCAACCTAAAGTATCTAGCACAAAGATCATCATACCTAACTGCACAATCATTTGATTCTTGGCCAACGGAGTGACGAAGATGAGATAGGACTTTAACTCTTATTGACCTCCAATTGTTCCAGACATACAATATAGTTTCAGGTGATATCTGGTTACAGGCCAGCATAGCATCACAAGACGATTCATCTTCTGATCCTCCCGCTAATCCCAAGTTGTACCCAGAAGCTTGAGGCTGGAGATAAGCATTAAGAAGAAAATGGGAAGCAACAAGTTCTATTAACAACTTTCCACATTTTCTGCCCACAAGGAAGGCACAACTTAAAATGGCAAGGGATTTTGGCACACATTTCAGTGCATGTGCTCCTAAGGGCATGTACAATGGTGCTATCTTAGGAGTGCCACCTAAGATAAATGATGAGGTGGAGGAGAGAGAACTCATAAGAAAAGACTTGTCTTCTCTTATTTAAGAGAAGGCAAGAGATGATCTCTTAGCACAATTTGTCTCACCATGTTTTTAGGAATAGCTAGTTTTTGAAGATAAGACTAAGAGATGACCCATTGTAGACATTCTTTTTTTGTCATCTCTAAATTACATGCAAAATTTAAGATAAGACTATCTTATCAACCACTGTACATGCCCTAAGTAATCAAAGAGGAAGCAGCAACCGCCGACTTCATTTGTCGTTTCATTGGTTTTTTCATAAAGTCGATTTGCCACTGCCGTCTACCGCCCCGCCATAGGCCTCCCCTGCTCTCACCCTTCTTATTCTATGCTAGCTTTACTCAAGTTTTCAAACAAAAATATCAACCAAATAAACCAATAACCAGCTCAAGCACGGGCGCGGCGTTGCGCTGCGCCTTCGCCTACTAGTCATAATCATATGTCGGGTGTGTGCTCATGATGTTTTTATTCTCTTGATCCGACATTGTGAGTTAATAAAAAGCGCCCTGTATCGGGGAAAAGGTAACATGCATACATTTGAATCACATTCTTTGCCAATATATATGTATAAACTTGACTACGAACAAACATAGGCACATAACTTCATGTTTATTTACATGATAGATAGATTACAACCAAGTTTAATTACAACAGTAAACACTGATATATGTCCATCGGCACATCTGCATATTTACAAAGCACGAGAGCCAAACACCTGAATTGTTTGGAGGTTCAGTCTTCCGACAGTAGCAGTTTGGTGCATGAATCTGCCGTGTGCACTAGTGGGGCTGTACATTCTGCTGCTTGGCACATAAATTTTGGATGAGCCAAAATGATGTCCTCTTATTGACCAAGACATATTTGAACAGTGAACTGAATCACTCTAGGCTTAATTTGCTTCCAGCACCTCCCATTCGTCATCGTCATCATCCGAAGACGTCGTATGGTCCTTAGCATGGTTCCTCTGAGGCAGATCATCTCTGTTTTCATTGCTCCCCAAGGGCCGGTCTGTGTCAACTGACGCACTCTTGCAGTCATTCTTGTGGGAAGAATTAGCTGAGCTGCTAGTCGTCACCAAGGCTGATTTAAGCTTGCTTACACGGGCCTGGATGCTTGCTATTTCTCCCCTACGAAAGTAAAACAAGGGCATTCATATTCAGAGGTTGTATCGATAATACAAGAGCTAACTATGGTTGGCCAAAGAGCTAGAAGACAGTATACAGCTCAATTGAAAGCATGGCTTAGTAATCTTCACTAGTTACGAATTTTCTCCTTTTTAGCTCTGTTTTTTTTTACTTTGTTTGACACTTGTTAATCATATAGTATTGATTTATGTTAACAATATAAAAATTGCAGTGGGGAATTCCTCACTGTTATGCTAAAAAAAAGTGTCATCTCGCATGCAGCACCAAGCTCAATTTCTACAGGTTCTTGATGCCGAGGCCCCCCAGCTCGACCGGCCTGCAGTCATCGTACCATGCTACTGAGCAGTTGCCACCATTAGCATCGAGGTGATCAGTTCAGAAGAACTTGCGCAACCACTTATCGATGGCCTCGAGCAGTCACTTGGGCATCTCTGTTGCCATCATGGTGTGGATGGAATCGCGGGCAGAATCGTTTTCACCATGACGAGCCACCCTCCTTTGATGATCATCCCGCTCAACAGCCACAAACTTGTTACCAGTTTTGTCCAACAAAGGTTGGTAGTCAGCTACCAGATGGAAAGGCAAGGTTGTTAACAAGATTTTTCACTACGAAGAAGACACAAGTCACCCAAGTTTTGGATGAAGAGTTGGGTGGTTGGGGAGTGCACCCACCCTCCTATCGAGATAGGCTCCAAAACAAAAGGATGTACACGACATAGTATGGCAGAGCCTCATTTTAAAATTATACACACTAACACCGGTCAAATAAATGCATGTATGAATGAGCAGTAAGCCTATATTAGTGGGAGAGTGTAACATACTGCATGATATCAATGATGTGACCCTGGTCCAGCAATTGTTCTCTCAGCTGCAACGAGAAATTTTTGAATCCATTAATACAAGGTATGCAAGAAGAGCAACAATTGAAAGAAACAGTAAAATCTACAAACTAAATTTTGCCTATTACCAAAATGTTCTCTTCGGCTTCCTTTTGGAGCTTTCTTGACTCCTCCATTATGCTCCCCATTGTAGCTTCCTTCTCTTTACGTAACAATAGAGCTAATTTATCTTCTTGAATAATTTGCTCCATTGCTGCAGCCTCTTCCTCCATCGAAGTTGCTAGACGTGCATCTAGTTGAAATTTAATCTGTGCACTCGAATTGGGCATGAACATAAAACATTACTATCAATTTCTTACTCACAAAATAACAGCATCCTTGTTCAATGTTATTCTGTTGGCACTTCGCTCTTAATTAAGTTTAGCTGTTGTTACCTCCTGAACAGCTGTAAGCGCTTCATTTCTTTGAGCAGCCAATTTGGTAAGCTTAGACTGAAGGTCCTGAGTTAGAGCCACCAACGAACAATTTTCTCCACACAATACTTGAGCTTGCTATTTATGAATGAATGAATAGTAAGCCTCATTTTTCAATACATATGAAGATACCAGAGCATTAAGAACATGGTACCTTATCATTTGACTCTTTCGAATTCTCAATGAGCTGGTTAAAGTGCTCTGCCATGGCAAGAAAATTTTGATGTGCCTTGTCAGCATTTTGTTTTGCTAGTCGAGACTTTTCCTCCTGAAGCTCAACCTCTTTCATTTTCATGATTGTTGATTCATACAAACAGCTCAATGATTCCTGCAACGAGCTTTATGTGAACTTTCTACAAAATTCATGATCAAACTATTGTGTTCTGTATATTTAACCAAATTTTCTTATGTATATTACAGAATAGTTTAAATTTTATTACAAAATTCGGTACCATAATTTGGCAAGTGTTGGCATGCAAAATCTTGGCTTACCAATGACTAATCTGGAAAATTCAGGCCTTAAACAAAGCAAAAAATTCAATAAACATTGGCTTGGAAATTTTTGGTGCCAATCAAGCAGGACCCATTTTATTAAGATAATGGAAGCTTTTTAACCCCGGCCTCTGCATCATAGATGCATGCAGCCACACTTATTACAGAGTTTATTACATCAACAAGAAAAATAATCTCGACTAAAGAAGAAGAGACCAAAATATCCTGGCCAATAACAACCAAGAGCTATTATACCCACAGCAAGACTACTCTATAAACTAAGAAGTCTATCAGTGGCACGCCATCCAAATCGGGACATAAAGCAGGACCCATATGTTTCTCAATTTTTTTGAGAATCAGAACATATGTTTCTCAATTTGTTTCAGTGTATTGTCCTAATGCTTTCAAGTGAGAAAAAAGAGAAATTACTGGCTGCATGCATGCCAATGACTGATAAAAGATTAAACTTCACAGTTTACAAAAACATAACTAGGTAACTGATAATTTGTGATTTCATAATTAAGAGTAAGGATTGAATCAAAAGCAATCCCATTGACTTGGCTTTGTACCGTATTTTTAGACTAATAAGCATGTTTTTTTTCGATAAAGGGTAATATATTAAAATCAAACTGATATAAAAAACACCTGGCCTGAGACTAATAAGAAGATACGAAAAAACATACTGAGCTTTTAAAGTGGTTTATTGACAAGTAGGATTAAAAATATTGTTTCTAAGGAGAAAGCCTTAGTCGTACAACAGTTACCTTGCTTTTAGTGATATCAGAAATATTCTTGTTTATTTCAGTGATATGAAATGACTGAGTGGAGTTATCAAGAAATCCCTCACTTTTATCTGCACCAGGCATCATCCATTCTTCATTAGGCTGATCTGCATCAAGCTCAACCATCGGGCATAAGGAGTAGTACTTATCACCATCGAAATTGCACGTACTAGTAAAAGTTCGGCGATTATTGAAATTGAGATGTATTGAAGGTAGCTCCTCATTATGAACTGTCTCGGAACCACCCTTTTCTTGAAAGGGTTGTAATGAATTATCTACGATTTTGGATGAGGCAAATAAGTCAAATAGCTTGTGTTGATTGTCTAGCTTAACAAAAGACTGCTCATTTTTCTCCTCAGTAAAATTCAATGGTACTTTTGTTGTCTCGTCAACTGTGCATAGATCGCCAAATAAATTGTAGAAGTTGCCATCATTTGCTGACTTGTGGAGCTCGGGGGTATTTTCTGCAGTACAGAGTGCACCCAACTCTTCTCCAGCATTATCTTTGTTTTCAAACAGAACTTGTAAGTCATTATTATCCTTTGGGTTGGAGAGCGTATGGACAGTTGGAGCATTTGGCAAATTCTTTGATGTCTGTTTGTCTTCCTTTGAGTGAAAATTCACAAGTAAGGTTTCCAAGTAACAGTTATCTTCTGACTTGTCGAAATCATGTTTACTTACCTCATCAGAAAGTTTCAGAGGCACTTGCCCTCCATGTTTCACTGCACAATCTGAAGGGCTCTCCTTAAATAATGGCAACATATTCCCAGAAGAGGCAAGCAAATCTGATAGCTCATAATTATCATTACAGTGTTTGTGGTTGCCTATTTCAGTCTCTGGAGTCACTTCATCTTTTTCAGCTGCACAATGATCATTACATCCTCCTGAATCAGACTGCTCATACTCCATCATATGTGGCTCCGCTGCAGATGTCGATGACGATCCAAGCAGAGCATAATGCTCCTGAAGAAGGCTGTTCATTACTGTTGTAGGAATTCTTGTTTCATTTATCACCACTTTATCCTCGATCTGGGAACATTTTTCTATTTTGTTCTTACTCTGGAATGGTCCATCATAATCTGAAAACGGATCACATTCACCAACAGTGCCACTGCTCTCAGCTGACGTACCAAATAGGGCACTGGTATCCTCTCGAGCTCCTAGATCCACCAATGATATCCCTCCAGAGTGCAAGTTAGATTTCCTGGCTAACATTTGGAAACAAACAAGCATGAGACTGAAGGCCCCATTGAATAAACAACTAGCAGATGCACATATTTGATTGCTACAAGTATTTCCATGTAATGGATGAAAACAAACAACAGGAATGAAAAAAAACGGTGCAAAACACAGTGCACAAAGTTACTTACAATCAGTATGGTCGTGTTCTGCATAATCAACATCTTGGAGTGTAAAAACTGTTTCAGTAGGTTCGCTTACTGCTGGAATGACATCGGAAAGAACAAATCCAACAGCTGCATCAACATCAGAGGAATACTGACTGGCTACAGCCTTCAATATTCGAAGATCAACCTGTAACACAAATACAAAGGGGAAAAAATAACCTTAAATATGCCATGTTTTCTTTATCTTGATGTACAGTTGCACATATATTAGAATTGGTCGCGTAAATACAGTAGGAGGTGGTTCATGTTAATGAATCCAGTCTCCAGGATGAAGTAAACCATGTTTGGCATTGGTTGACAGGGAAATCCATAATCCAGCAAGGCCGCACAATGAATGTCAGAATTTTATATTTATTTTTTGGAAAGGTTGAATAATGTCAGCATAAATGACTTGATACTTGTGCATTTTATTTGGCTGTTGGCTCCTTGCATCTTCTGTCACTATTTTTTACTGTATTTCCCTATAATTACTTGGCTGGACTTATATTATGCACGTGCAGACCTACTACTGATGTCCCTTCCATATATGATTGTACATACTGAGCAGAGCATTCTCTCTCAATAGTATTATAAATTATCCTTTATTGGCCTAAAGCAGAAATTTACCTCCCTCCAAGAAACACTGAAATGCTCCCGGGAGTCTATCAACAGATCTTTTGAATTGTCCTATTAATAGATTTCATCAAACAGTTCGTCGGCAACCCATACGGTGGTGCCTTGTAGGAGCTAGAGCACGCCCAGGAAAATCCAAAATGCAGAGGACCGAAAATAAGATTCTCCAAATAGAATCTTCGCGTGTAAGCTAGATGAATTACTCCATTTTTTATTTTATTTTTGCTAAATAGGACTATTACATATTTACATAGAAGAAATTGACCTTGAGGTATTCCAAACAAAAACATGAACAAATCTTGTGGAGCCAGCCAGCCGGACCAATCCATACCTGCGGGAAGACCTCTCGCAGGGCGCAGAAGACCTGCTTGAATGCCATCGCCGACGCCTCCAGAAGTGGAAAGGGGCTGGATTTTTGGTCAAGGAGAAGGGGGCTGACATGAAGGTTGGGGGAGTGGAGAAAACCAGTGAGACAGAGAGAGGGGTGACGGATGGAAAGAAAGAAGTCGAGGGAGACGACAGGTGAGGAGGAAAAGCTCGGATGGGGACGCGCCAGTTACTCGCGAATATTCATGGCGTATAGAATGGCAACTGGGGCCGCATTAGCCGTGGGGGCCATACGGTCAGTGAGTGCCACGGGGGGCTGCGCTTGGCTCCAACCTTCCTGGGAGGCTGGGGCGCGAGGAGACCGGCTTGTCAGTGACACGGATAGTGTGGCTCGTTGTCTCACGGTGGGTCGACTAGGACGGCAACCAGAGGACCTTTTTTTTAGAAAAAATACTAGACCTGTCCGGTGTTGCCGACACGGAGGCCGTTGGCACGTCAAGTTTCAATGTGGTCCACCCGTCACACATCGTGTGCATTTCTTTCACAGTGCTGCCGACCACCCGTCACGCCCACCGTGAGCCCGTGGTGTCGCGTCGTGCGTCTTCCGCTACACGAGGCCTCATCTGAGACCTGGACAGGCGGGCCGTCCTGGTGCGTAAGCGGTTCTGTAGTTGGCCGCCGGCTGAAGCGCACGACGGCATCGGCAATGGACGCGTCGACGCCTGACGGAAAACCAACCAATCCATAGGGCCGAACCAGGCTACCGACGCGGCTACGGTACACACTGCAGGCCACCGAGTGCTGGAAGCCATCACAGTTTGGTCCAGCATCAATTTTTTCAGGCACAACTCACAGTCTCTGCTATGCTCTCACTCCACGAGATAACTAGGGCCATGGTACGGACAAGGTTGATGGTTACAAGCATCTGTCATATTTACAGGACCGTGGAAACGGTGAAAAAGACGTACGGCGTACGTGCTACCCCGAGCCCACAGAGCCGAAGCACTCTCACCAATCTTTCAGAAACTCGTCGGCCAGATCTTTGTAGCTCACCTTTTTCTTCTTGGGAGCCGCGGGATTTGGATCTGGGGCTGGAACCCCCGCACTGTATGACGAACTTCCTGCCGGCGGTGCCGGAGCCACGGGATTGGATGCAGAACCACCTGTCTCAGGCACCGGAGCCCTGTTATCCGACATGGAACTTCTCACACGCGGCGGATCATGCTCGACTTTGGCTGGGGGATCGCTGCTCGCTTCTTCCCTAAGCGACGGTATCATGTCGAGGAGCATCGCGTGCAGAGGATCAACCATCTGTTCTATCTTCTCACCTGCCATGCTCTCTCCTTCACCAGCGTCTGTTCTTTGGGAAGTTCCTTTGCTTTCGAACTTTGGACTGCCTGTCTTCTCCTCTGCGGCACTCAGTTTGACGACTGTGGGCTCTCGATCGTCCAATGTGATGAACTGGGCCCCTGCAGGCGGTCCTTGGTTTTCATCCAGGCTATCTTCTTCCATCTTTACGACAGCATCTGTGCCAACCTTTTGATCTTCTTCACCTGTTTCACCAGGGCCGCTTTCGTCAGATTCACGATAGTCTATTTTCGCTTGCCGGGTTCCTCTTCTAGCACTTGTTCTTCGAACTGGTCTAGGAGCAGCTCGAGGTGGTCGTTGGTGCTTGTCACTGCTATCTTCTTCCATCCTGGAGATGGGATCTGTGTTCGACTTTTCATCATCTTGACCTGTTTCACCAGGACCGTCTTCTTCAGGTTCACCATCATCTATTTTTGCCTGCTTATTTCCTCTTCTAGCCCTTGTTGTTCGGACTGGCCTAGGAGCAGCCCGTACAGTTCTCGAACTACTGCTTGTCGCCCTGCCCCTTTTCCTTGCATGTTTAACATGAGATATTTCAACCTCCTCATTTTCAGCAGTCTTGTCATTAGAGGGCTGGGCCTTTTCCTCACTGAAATAAAACATCAACAATCAAAAGGTAAATAGTTGTTTTCAGAGATGATGAAATGGTGGATACGTTGAACCTTCAAATGTGAACATTCAACATATACCTCCTTTCGATTTGTATTTCTTCTAATGTATCCGGTTTAAGGTTGTAGGCGGTTTCAGGCAATTTCATTTGTTTCTCCACTGAATCTTCTAACCACTTGTTACTGACAACATGCAATCTTTTGTCGTGTAGGTAACGCCTCTCAGCTGGAGAGAAGCTGCATAAACAATAGACTCATTACTGTTCCTATTCCCTGTCACTCACATAATATACAAAAAAAAGCATTAAATCATCACCTCTTGTACAATATGTCAAAATTGTACACCTCAAGAACTGAAACTATAACCAAATGGGTAGCAGGAGCAAGGCTGCTGCAATACTGACCACCATGCATTGTAAGGTCCTGCTTCACCCTCTTTAGTGCAAGATCAGATATTACATTGTAGTCCTCGTTCCTTCAGGAAGAAAACAAAAAAAGGAGAAACAAATAAGTATTGACATTACATGGAAGATGATATTTGGCAGTAAATGAGACTTACACTAAAGGTGCATGATACAAGTAAACGCAGCAACCCTGGAAGAAGCAGAATCTTTCATCTGCATAATACTTCTTTTTGTACCGGTGTACCATGCTTGGATCGACAGTAACTTTGTCCATGTTGATGAATATCTGAACAATGAATCAATGAAAGAACTGAAACTATAACCATAAACTAGCCCTTATAAAAAGGGCAAAAAGCAACAATATTTCAAGTCACAGCCAGCAACACCTTTCCTGCCACTTGCTAGTCAGAGCAACCTTCTCAGCACAAGCTAAGAATTTTATGTGATAAAACCACTTTAACAACAAAATTACAATGCCAGGGGATGCGACAATACGTGGATCTATGGCGAAGTAACAATCCAAAATTATGTTTGTGCTGTCATTCAAACTCTAACAGTGCTCGCTGGGTGAGTTGTTTGATGGCCATTATTAGGGAGATTTAAATTGGTGAAATCTGTCGAAGATTTATGTGTCTGAAAGGGATATCGCAACATGATTTCTCTAGCAAAGAGATACTATCAAATAGTGCTTTCTCTATCTGAGGCTTTATTCACGGGATGTACATAAATGTGGCCTTCAGATATCCCTAAAGCTATAGCCTATTTCAGATTCATCTGTCCCAAGGCTCATGTTGAGGGGTTTGCAAATTGCTCATATATGTACTGTAGCAATCCCATGTAGCTTCCAGCTAGCTACAGGGTGTACTGTAGTATGTGGCTATGTGCACCTTCTACTATATAGCTGACTGAGAGAACTGAGCACCACTCAGTTTGTGGGGCCGCGTGAACATCAACCCACCCAGGGGCAGATCTAGGCCAAACAAGGCCAAGGTGCACAGCTCATGGGCTAAGGAGCATACACCAAATTGTGCAGAGCCCATGAAATACCAGGGTGCACACACCAACTTTTATGGGCTGATTGCAAGGAAAAAAGATGTTGGACCCTGGTGCATGTGCACCCTGGTAGCCCAACGTGGCTCCGCCCCTGAACCCACCCATTGGGGTTCAACTGTCATGGTATTGGTGCCTGGTGTCTAGGTCGTTCTTCTATAAACAATGCCATCAGCTTCTATAGCCTGCTGTCTACGTCATTCTTCTATAAACAATGCTATCAGCCATACTATAGCTGGTAGCATGATTAATTCAGACCCCCGTAACACATCTTGATTTTTGAAAAATTGTCACATGTGTTTAAGGAGATAAAGCATTTGCCGCATACAAAAATAAGCTCTGTACCTGCTTCAGGTCAGAAACATCGATGTCCCAGTAGTAAAAATCTGCATACGAGTCGATCTCTTCAGGAAATTTGTGCCTGGCAAAATCTGCAAGAAAGAGGATATACCTGCACAGCAAAATGCATTAGAATATGTTGGGTAAAAAGATTAGAGGAATATGTGATATAAGCAAAGGACGAACTTGGGTTGCAAACGAAGAAGTATTTTTTGCTTGCAACAGTCCAAGATCCAGGAATAATGAATGATCCTTCCGTGGCGTATGGCCGCCTGATATTTGATACCTGAGAGTGCAGCAAATAGCCTCAAACTGTATGTACTCAGCACCCAGGATAAGGAAAAGTAGCCCTGCACAACAAAAGTGGAATACCTTTCTTCTCCGCTGCTATGCAGTGAGTAACAGAGTCATTAAGATTCATCGAGAAAGATCCTCCATTCTCCACAACCAGTTTATGGAAATAGTCGAGGTTATATGACGGAGGGGTGTTGACAAAATCTAAGTATGATAAGGAATGTACCAGTCCGAATATATGGTGTGCTTTAAAAAGATGCAGATATAGTTGCTTGACCTTCTACACAAA